TCACATACATACCTGAGTAAGGAGAGCGAAGTTTTTACACTCACCCCCCCCCCCCCCGGGTACTCGATAGATAGTGATAAAGCAGCTCAAATCCGGAATCAGAAATCCTGTGGTGTATTTAATGAAAACAGAAACAGATACACATATATTTTTTTCTATGAGATAGAATAACAGAGAGGTAGAGAGACTTAGCTAGCGCGCGCTCTAGAAAAAGAGAAGCACCACAACACATGTACACTATATATATATTATATATATATATATATATATATATATATATATATATATTAATATATATACACGCATATACATGCATTACATACATAAGATATATATATATATATATATATATATATATATATAATATATATATATATATATATATTATATATATATATATATATATATTATATTACATAATATATATATATATATTAATATATAATATGTTATAAGTATTATAATATAATACTTATATATTTCATGTATATATATATATAATATATATTATAGACTATATATTTTTATGATATGTATTTATAGTATGAGTATTATAAATTATAGTAATATACATAATATAATTATTAATATATGTGTGTGTAGTGGTGTCGTGTTGTGGTGTGTAGTTTGTGTGTGTGTGTGTGTGATACGACTGTGTGTGGTCTGTGTACTTGTTGTGACTAACGAGTGAGCACATCTGCTTACTCCTCTCTTGCTCTCCCTCTCATAAATCTCCGTTTTTCCGGGAAACTCTGTATTCTTATTTCTGACATTCACACCTCAATATATATATCACACGAAAAAAAACTATTCTATATTATTACCATATGTCTTTTTTCTTTATCTTATCCTCTCATTACTATTTCTCTTCATAATAGCTCTTAATCTCCCGCCCCTCAGTTTTAGTATAGAACGACACTCTTTTTGTGGGGATTGGGTATCCCTCATTCCCATCTCAATATATATATAATTATGTTTCTTTTCTTTGTACTGTAATGATTCGCTTCTTCGAGTCTTTCTGTCTCTCTCTCGGCTCTCTTCTCTATCTACTGGTCTTCTCTCTCTCGTCAACGTCACGAATCAGCACTGACACCACAACAACCATAACGGTTTATACGATTGTCTACCTAAGACAGATGGAGAATGACTGACTCCAACGTAATTATCAGTTCACACACACATGTGTATCGACTAAGCGACTGTACATTAGTGTGCATCGCGAGCACTTGTTGAACCACCACTGGGTGGAGGGCTCACGAATTGGGCTCAACAATATATATAATTATATTATATGGTATATATATATTAATATATATATAGACATTTATATATAGATATATATATATATTTTACTTTTATACGATATATATATATTAATATTATATATAGTATTAAATATATATATATATAATATTACATATATATCACACCACACAACATGCATATGCTATACTATCTATCTATCTATACATGATAACATGGCATATATAATCTATTAGTACAGCTGGAATTACCATGCAGTATGTATATATAATATTTATATATATATTAGTATATATATTATAGTAAATATATATATTATTATACTAATATATATATAATATATATTATATCTCAGTATAATATATATTTAATTTATAGTATATATATATATATTATATATATACATTAATTATTTTATTATAGTACGGCACACACGATGGGTAATAAAATAGTATATATTATAAGTATATATATATAATATATTATTATATATATACGCACACACGCATGTATATTGTATATATATTATATATTAATATGTATGGTTATATGTATCTACCTATGCTATAATCTATCTATTTAATCTATCTATCTATCAATCTATCTATCTATCTATTCTATTTCTTATCTATTCTATCTATCTAATCTATTATCATATGGCGCAACACAACGCATATAATTATGTATATATTATAAGTTCTAAGAGTATATTATATAGTTATACTATTATATATATATAAATATATAATACTATATTTCACGGACTTGTATCAGCGCATGTGTGTATATATATATTATATTATATATATTTATATATAAATATATACTTACTTACGATTCGAAGTAGATGCCAGAGCTACGTAGTTATTATGTATAGAAATTAATCTATATATGTATTATAGTATATACTATTATATAACAATATAAATAAACCAATTGTCGTCAACAACACCACACATGTTATATATACTATTTGCGTTATACTATAGATACTTATATATTTATATTATTATTATATATATTATTAGTTTATTATAATATCTTATATAATATAATATATAACGTGGCACAAAGGCATTTATGTTTATATTAATTCATATATATATACTATATTTGAAATATGTATAGTATTACTATATATATTATTATAAAGATTAGTATATAGTATAGATATCTATTAAGAATATATTTATCGCACATCACGAATTTTGAAAGTTGTAGGTGTTATATGCAGCTG